CTTGTGGAGGCAAGAAAAGTAAGCATCCTACAGCTGATATGACAATAGCTATTTGTTCTATAAAGGAATGAATTGAATTCACTACAAATCTACTAACTGTCCCCCTATGCCAGGCAAGAGACTGACTTGGTTTCTTTGAGCTGGGCTTTTCTCTAACAGCTGGAGGTCTGCTGGGCATTCAAGCAATGGCTGTTGAGTCAGGCAGCTGTTTCAATATCTAATTGCATTTTAGCACTAATAGCTCAAGGGGAAAGCATTGCATTGTCTGCCATGAGCTACTTCCTGTCCTACTGCAAAGCACACTGCGCTGCCGTGCTTGCCCAATACCAGAGCCTGAGATCAGAGGGCTTTCTCTGTGACATTTTGCTGAAAGTGAAAGAAAACGAGTTTCCTGCACACAAGTCCTTGTTGGCATGCTCCAGCGACTACTTCCGAGCCATGTTCAAAAGCTATACCCAAGAGTCTAAAGCCAGTGTCATTCACCTGCAAGTTGTCTCACCCACCGGGCTCCAGCACATCCTGGATTTCATTTACACATCCTTGCTGCCCCTTTCCTTTGAAAGCCTGGAGGATACCTTGGAAGCTGCAAGCTACTTACAAGTGACTGATGCTATTGGCTTGTGCAATCAGTACTTAGTTAACAATCTTGCCTTGGAAAACTGCTGCTACTCTGCCAACGTGGCCAGAAGGTTCTACCTGCCAGATGCCCTAGCAGCCACAGAAAAATACATTATCAAAAACATCTGGAAGCTGCTGGACTTGGATTTGTCAGGACTTCTCGAGCTGAACTTCAGGTCTTTGCTAGCAGTGATTCAATCACCAGATCTCCCCATGGTGGAAGAATGCCGCCTGTTGAATCTTGTCCTGCTGTGGTTGAAGCATGATAAATCCAGGCTGGATCATGCAAGCAGCCTTTTAGAGCACATAAGATATGGTCTCATCCCAGTAGGAGAGCTGAGAAAAACCTACACACAGTCAGAAGTGTCCCTCTCACCAGCTATTAAATGCTTGATCATAAAAGCAATAAATTATCACACATCTGTATTCAAACAGCCTGTCCTGCAGGATAAGTCCACGACACTGAGGAACCAGAAAACTCGGATCATTCTGCTGGGGGGAGGCACAGCAAGCGAAGGGCTCATCACTGATGTGGTGGCCTTTGATGTTTACAATCACAAATGGAGAACCCTCACGCAGCTGCAGGACAGAGTGCAGAACCACAGTGTGTGTGTGGTGGGGAACTTCCTCTATGTCCTGGGTGGGGAAATACAAAGTGGTACCTTAGGTGATGCTAAAACTGGACAGACTTTATTGGTTACAAATAAGGTCCATCGGTATGATCCAAGATTTAACACATGGACCCAAATCACGGGCATGCTGGAAAAGAGATGCCAGTTTTCTTGCTGTGTCCTAGGTAAGGATATCTTTGCCATTGGTGGAAGGGGTGAGGACGGGTCGCTGCATTCATCTGTGGAAGTCTATGACATCAGCAGGGACAGATGGACGAAGGCCAGGGAATTGCCATGCAGGATACATGGCCATGCCAGTGCTGTTTGCAAGAACACCATATACATCTCTGGGGGCAAGTACTTGGCCCCAGCCAGCACAAGCAATGAGGTTTATTCCCTGAGCTCACTTGAAGGGCAGTGGGTGAAACGTGCCCCAATGAGCATTGCTCGGTTTGGGCATCAGATGGCAACAATCAGGGGATCCATATTCACCTTTCTGGGATTATATGAACCTTTCTCTGAAATAGAAAGGTATGACCCAGATCAAAACCAATGGACTCGGTTAAAACCACTGGTCTACGATCGATTCTCCTACGGCCTGGCAGTGGTAGAGGAAACAGCTCTTCTTATTGGGGGGAAGAAATGGCAAAACTCACTGGAGGTCTCCACACAAGACGTGGTTGGCTATGACATCGACAATGATGGCTGGGAAGAGATTTGCAAGGCCCCTCTGCCGTGGTGGGGGCTGCAGTGTGCCGTGCTCCAGCTCTCCGAGGCGGCTGAAGAGCAGGACAGTGACACCCAGCACAAGAATCTGCCCAACTGCTGAGCTGCCGTGCTGGGAACAGCCATCCCAGGAGATGAACGAGCAGGGAGATCCTGGAGAAGAAGGAAATTGCACTGGCACTGGATGTGAGAGCGGAAGTTTTACTTGGATAAGCCAAATGCTTGGTGGAAACAGGCAAGAAAATCTGTCTCCAGCACAGGAAACACATCTAGGATTTATAAAGCTGGAAGCTGATCTCACTGAGCAAGGATGTAGGAAGTATCACTTTTAGAGGCGATGAGTGAGAACTGTAATCCTTGACTTTTGGATAATACCTAGATAGCAATTAGTAGGTGTTGCAAGTCGGATTTTTCAAATATTAAAAAATATAATCCATCTTTTATGTTTTTTTAATCAGAGGTAATTCTCCCAGCTGGTAAGTGCTATTGAGATTTTATGCTATGGTTAAGCAAAAGGAAACAGAGCTGTATAAAGACTAGAAAACTGATGCCTAGAAGAATTAGTAGCAAGTATTGCCAAGGAAAGGTATTATTTGATATCCTACGTAGTAGGCACGAATGTCTTAGTTAACCAGCATGAAATTACTGGACAGAAAGCATGGACTTTTCACTACATAGACTCAGGTACAGCTGAAAGTTAAAACAGTGTTTGTTTGATAGAAGCCATTTCTCTCTCAGTGGTCTTTGTTGTAGTTTATTTTCTTTTCTTTTAAGGACACACACTACTGGTGATGTACATTTCTTTTGTATCTAGACCCTGTTTTAGCTTAGATGGCCAGAGCTGAATGGGTACCCTTATAGTTAGCCTCCAAGAAGCTTCTTACAGGAGTAACAGGCTGTTACTGATGCCCTGGCACCATACGCTGTTTTATCACACCTGTTCTTAAGGGTAAAATGCTTCATTGCTGTTGAACTGCTGCAAGAGAGAACCCTGCAGTCAAAAAAGGTTTACTTTCATCAAAGAGTACAAAGGGAAGGGAGGTAACTGAAGGTTTTCAGAAGTCTCTACTCAGTGCCTGCCTACATACAAATCAACAATAGAGTCAGTCCCTGTTGGCCACACTGGCAGCATTTAAGTCACACCGGGGTACTTTAAGATACATGGATATGTGAAATGCAGACAAAACAGTCAGATGCCACAGAATCAATCCTGTATGGAGTAAAGTGAATCTTGAGCCATAAATGTTCATTTAAAAGCTAAATTTATTGTATTTCATTTTACAGTGTTCCCTTTCTAGTCTGAAGTTAATACAATAAAAATATATATAGAAGAACATTTAATAGTCTTAAAAGAAGGCAGCACAATGGAGAGGACACATGTTCTTTGTCACTAGACTAGCTTAAAAAATTGTAATGTTTAATTTTCACCTTTAAAGCAATCAAGCTAACTTTACTAACGTAAAGTGCAGGCAGAATGGCTGTTGCATAGCAACAGATCTAAGTCTTCTGAACTGCCTTGGTTTTGACAAGGAATCAACTACACAATGTGCATATACATCCATCAGATATAAAGAGTTTTTCATATGAATATATTTACTTTTGGTCCAGTAAAACAATAGCAAGAGAATCTAAATGCTTGGAACAATAGCACAATCCATTTCAAGTCAAGCATTTTTTAAGAGAAATTTACAAAAACCTCACAAATTTAATATACAAGTCAGTACCCATGCAGTAAATAAATGTCCAGTTTATACAAACAATATTCTTCTAATAGTACAAATCTTACACTGGATCCAGAATTCTATACAAACGTTAATACATGATTTGTCATCCATACGACTTGAATATAGGATTACTGAAAATGGGCTACAGAAAGGCCACTCTTCTGTACAGTTGTGCAAAATCTGCAGAACATTTGCAATCCAAATGCAATAACAAGATAGAAAATGAGGGGTAGAAAGAGCAAGAGAAAGAAAAAGAGAAAGGGGGCAAGTGAGAAAAAGGGGAGAAAGAAAGA